TTGAAAATAATGCTCAGTTTAGTCCTCCCATTAACGCTATCAAAATGACGTCAAAATAATGTTAAACTTAAACTAATTTTCCAAAATAGTTCTTTTTAATTTGATGTTTTCTCAAATTGATTCACTTTTGAAATAATAACTAATGAAACATAAAAAATTAACTTTAAAATTTATAAGATGATAATATAATAAATAAAATTATAAATATAATTTAACAAAATTGAAAGTAAACCTTTTCGGAATGTTTACAATTATTTTGAAAAATGTCACATTAATAAAATATTTAATAAACTTTATTTATTTGTTGTTCCAATTTTGGAATAAGACTCTTGTTTTAGTTTGTGATATCTAACTAAAGTTACTTTCAAAAATTACAGCTTAAAATTGGTCTAGGGTTTTATAAAAATATATATTAACAACATACACAAGAAGTCCTACAAAACAAGTGCATAGGTGGTGAGATTACTACTTTTAAGATGATCAACAAAAATGTATTAAAAATTAAATTTAGTCTGATTTTGTGGATAGTAAATACGAGACTAACTTGAGGATAAATGAAGTATTATTTTGTCAGAGTAATTTTATATTTAACGTACTCAATTTGATGTAAATGTAAAGGAGGTATTTTTCTGTGTTGGTTCTTTTTGACTTATTACTGATAAACATTTTTTAACTTATAAGTTGCTTATAAGTCAAATATTTTTTCATAGAGCTAAAATGACTTAAATTATAGATAAATCATTTGTAAATATTGATAAATGGTGATAGACAGTTTTGTAAATAATATGGTCAAATTGGAAAAATAAATAAACTGACTTAAAAATAAGTAGCTAAACTGTACTTATTTTTTCTGGCTTATAAGCAGTTTATAAGTCAACTTATAAGCATACAAAAAACATGTCATCAACTGACTTATAAATAAAAAATGTTTATAAGCCGTTTTGACCGGCTTATAAGCACAGAGAAACACCCACAAAACGTATACTTTATTTTTAGAAAAATTATTGTTTTAGAAATTGAATCTCATTTCACAATACTTTTTTCTTCCTAAAATAAGACTAATGTTAAGAGAAAATTTAGACGAGTTTTTAGTTATATTTATTTCGCCAAACACTATAAAACAAAAGCGAAGTCTTATTTCAAAATAGATGGAACCATTTATTAAATATTTTATTTACACAATATTCTTCTAAATAATTTTAAACAATCTCAAATGTTACTTTCAAATATATTAAATTATATTTATAATTTTATTTATCATATTCTCATCCTAAAAATTGTAAATTATTTTTTCGATGTTTAATAAGTTTTATTTTGAAAATAGACTAATGTGGAAAAATGAACAATAGAAAGTACCATTTAGAGAAATATATAAGTTTTAACACCCGTTAGTCGGGAAACTAAATTAAGCATTATTATCAATTAATGAATATAATCTTGATAATTAGTTTATCTCGAGGAGTAATGTAAAAAATATTTAGTTATTGAGTATTATTTACGAGAAGATGCGCGTGAAGGGAGAGATTACGATGACAAGATCCTAGGTTCATCCACATTTTATAAATCTTAGGACCTGTTTGGAAACAACGTTAGCGTTTTGGATAAAATTTTAACGGTGCAGATTATTTTGAAAATGCTAACGCTAAACGCTGCCCGTAGATAATCTTTTCAAAACACTAATCCTAATCTCTAACGGTATTTTTAAACATGACCTTAGTACATGAATAACAAAAAAACGTTCATAAAAATATAAAAATAATCACATTTTACATGACAAATTTGGGTAGGGTTGGCAACAAACCAATGGGGGTTGTTTGGGACCTCCTTTAGCAGCTAAGGAGTAGGTGAGGGAGAGGAAAGTAAATAGTGGGCATGATTATATTGTAGTGAGGAGAACCGGGAATTTCGTTTGCCGGTCAACACCTAACCATCCCCAAACGGCCCCTAAAGTCAAAAGGCACTCTCTCTACCTCCGTTCATTCCCTTCCGTTGTTAGCGAAGACTTCCAACGTCTATCCCGTGCCTTGTACGTAGCACTCAATTTCAACTTTTCAACTTATGCCGCGTGCTTGGTACAAATTATTTTGTTTTCATTTTGAATTTTTAAATCATTAATTATATTTTTATATTATTATTAAATATAATTTTTATTTAATGGATGATCAATGTGTACTAATTTGATTTATAAAAATCAAATTGAACGAGTTATCTAACACAGAAGTAGTATTATACTACCTTCATCACAAATTGTTTGCAACATTTCGAAGGACGTGCAAACTATTGTCGTTTTTAAAATCATTTTATTCACAAATTATCAGAAAAACAAAAAGTAAAAATTATACCGTTCAAAAGTATATAAAAAATTCTAGAAAACAAAATGTGACAAAAATATTTATTTTATCAAATGATTATTCAAAACAAGTAAACAAACAAAAGTTATCCAAGAACTGAAATAGTAACTGCGACATTTTTTTTTTGGAATGAATGGATTTTTTTACTAAGACATTCAAAACTGAAGGGTGTAAAAATTTTAAATGTATACTGTAGATTAATACAGAGTATGTTTTAATACGGAGCATTGTTTTGATTTTCACTGATATGTAGAAAGAGTTTAGATATCAGAACTTTAAATATAAAACGATTCGTAATTTTGCTCTTTTCGTTCTAAAATGCTTTACATTTTACGCAAAATAAAATAAAATATCAAATATTTTTAATTTATTTTATTTAAAGATTGATATAAAAATTAAAATAAAATTTACATATTTAACTACGTCAAAAGTTCTACAAAATAAAAGGTAAAAAATATTTTATTTACCAAATAATCAATCAAAACACACAAATAAACAAAGTTTTCGTGACTATTAAATAATAAAGAGTGTAATTTTTTTTGAAACAAATAGAGTAGTCATTTATTTTTGAAAGTATATTTGTGAAAGTCACCTCGAACTTCTCTCCTCGCTTGAGTGGTAGGAAGCCCACTCCCCATAATTTATGGGGAAGTTCACTCAGGTTCGAGCTCCAGCGGAGGCGGAAACATTGACTCTTTGTGCGTCATTAGTTAGAGAATAAGATGAGCAAATACTACCTTGTAATAAAGTCAATAACATTCAACAAAAAGAAGTCACCCCAAACTTCTTCACATTCAGTTCAAGCTATACTTCTTCGCCTAAGAGGTTGAAATTATAAAATTGAACAAATACTATATTGATGAGTCTTAGAGCTATTAAAAATAGTCATTTATTAAATTTACCAATAATAAAGTTTTATTCTTTTGAGTTGGAAAAATTAACTTCTAACTTATTTCAACTCCTGCAATTTCAATTTTTTTCCAATTCCTTTCAGGACTCTCCTTTCAGTTTTTTCTAACGACTTAAAAATATATTTATGCATGATTAATGTAAAATAACATTATATATCCAAATTTATCCAAAACTAAAATTTTTAAATATATTTATTTGATCATTTAATTGAGTGATTTATTAACTAAAAGATCATGACTTAAGTGTGAATTAATCAATCAAAGATCTCTAATCAAAGATCTCTAATTATCTTATTCATTTATAACCTAAAGTTAAATATAAAAAAAATTCATGATTGTGTTTTCTTGCAATAAAAATACTCCCTCCGTCCCAAATTATTTGTCACATTTCTATTACCGAGACAAAATATCAAGTTTTTTCAATTCATTTTATTTACATATTGGTAAAGAAATAAAAAATAAAAATTACATATCAAAAAACTACATGAAAAGTTCTTCGAAATAAGAGGTGTCAAGAATATTTTATTTTATCAAATAACTAATGAAAACGTAGAAATAAATAAAAGTTCCCGCGACTGTTGAAAAAGCAAATGTGGCAAATAATTTGGGACGGAGGGAGTATCTATTTTTAGCATTGGAATATCAGAATATGTTTCTATCATTTTTGTATGTAAAAAAAAATTGTTATCGTTATTTGTTAACCACTCGGTACAGAAGATTTTTGGGGTAGGTCTCTCTGTGATGGGACCCACAAATGATTTTCTTTTAGGATCCGTTTGGTATACGGAATTGACGTAATTGGAATTGAATTGGAATTGAAATTCCATGGGATTCAATTCCATAGAATTGAATTTTGCCAAATTCAATTCATTTTTTGCACTATCAATTCCAAAACCACATAATTTTTGTGCTACCAAACAACAAAATTGGAATTGAAGTCCTCAATTCCAATTCCATGATTTGAATTCCATGTACCAAACGGGGCCTTAAAACTTTCCCTCAATAATATGGAGTAATGTACTCACTCCCACAAAAGATTTTTTTATTTAACTTTCACTAAATTAAAAAAAAAAGTTCTAAAAGCTCAAAAAAAGGGTTTCGGTGGCAAAAATTAAAACTTTGAATATGTTGAGATAAGGTGAGTTGAGTTACTTCTTTTTAAAAAATAAATACTTCATGAATCCCAAAATAAATTGTATTGAGGAAAGTATGAGTCAAAATTTCAAAAATTTAAAATTGGGTTTAGAAATAAATAATAAATTTATACATTAAAAAGTTATGTCAAAAGTTTTATATGATTACAAAATCAGAGCAAAAAAATATTTAATTTTTTTAAATAATTAATAAACACTCTTAATTTACATATTTTCAAAATTAATCTATGTTAATAAAAAATCATTTAAAATACTAGTTCTAATAAAAAAATTATCCTCAACCTCACCGAATGGTAATATTAGTAATAAGCGTTATTGTTTTAAATAATTTTTTAATTATGCAAATAAACACAAAAACACTAACATTAAATCTATTATTTGAATTTAAAAAAAATCCACTATTTGAATTAGATAATATTTTTAAAACGGTGAATCTGAAAAATCTCAAATCATTGACAAAAATAAACCCAATCCTATGAAATTTGTGATATTCTCCAAAGAAAACGCCTTCTCCTCCTATAAAATCTCAATCTTCTCTTCTCTCTCTCCCCATCTCTCCCGCATCTCTCGCTCCCTCTGCACAGCTCAGTTCACAGTAGAACTCTCCCAAAATGTCTCTGCTTTCAGATCTCGTCAACCTCGACCTCGCCGATCACACGAAAAAGATCATCGCCGAGTACATATGGTGAGTTCCCGGATTCTTTACTTGATCCCTGATTATTTTTATTTATTTTTTGAATTTTTTAAAATTTGTGTCTGCCTTTTATTACGATCTGTGTACTTGATGTGTTTCCGGTTAGATTCGTTGCCTGATTGTCTCTGTTTTCGCTTTCCTCTGTTTCTTTAATCTCTTCTGGTTTTGTCCCCTGTTTTTCTCCGGCGAGCTCCGATCAGTGCCGGAGTTCTGAGTTCGAAACTTCACGAGTTTTTTGATGTTTTATGATCTTGTTTTCTTGCATTTTGAGTAAATCTGGGAGTTGGTGTGGATTAGTGGCCACCTGATTTGATATGTTATGGATGATTGGAAATTATGGGTTTGATTAAAATTGGATCTTTGGTTGTGTGTGACCAATTTGATGTAAAGATCAGATTTTTATGTATTTGTATGTGTTTTTTTTAAATTATGAGCATAAAACATTCATATCTGATTGCCTCTGATCTGTTTGAACAGGATCGGTGGATCTGGTATGGACCTCCGAAGCAAAGCCAGGGTATTTTCGTCTTTTACTTTCAACATGTATTATTGTATTTGTTCATGTATTATTGGTCCAATAGTCTGTTATTTGAGCAATTATTTTTCATCATCAATAATTGCGCTTTATTTTGATCCTAAATTTTGGTTTATAGCCCAATTTCCTAGGTAACTGTCCTGGAGGGATGAAGTTCTACCCTCAGCCCAATTTCACTTTTTGAGTCAAATTGGATAAAACTTAAATTATTAAATTAACTAAAAATTATGCAAAATTAATTTTATTAGGTTTATCTTGTGGAAATTCTTTTCAGAAATTATTTTTTATTCGGAATTCATTACAAACCTACACGAAATAGCTCCTTATATTAAGTACTTATTTTTACCCAAGTTCAACACTTTTAAGATCCTTTTCAATTAAATTTAGTTTATTTTATTTTTGCAGACCCTTGCTGGTCCGGTCACTGATCCATCGAAGCTTCCGAAGTGGAACTATGATGGGTCTAGCACCGGTCAAGCACCGGGGGAAGACAGTGAAGTGATCCTATAGTAAGTTGCCTCAGCATTATCACTCCCTCCCTTCACATTTAACTAAATTAATGTAGACATACTGTATGTCTATATTCATTCGACTTTTGTTGTGCTTGAGGTTTGTTTGTTTGACTATTTTTTTTTTTTGAAACAGCCCTCAAGCAATATTCAAGGATCCATTTAGGAAGGGCAACAATATCTTGGTGAGTTGGATTTATTGAGGAATTATATTTTTAGTTCAGTTGGGATAATTCAACATTTTCATCACATTCACAGTTTCAACCTGCCAAACGAGCCCTAAGTTTTCGAGGTCTTTAATGATATGGCTTATGCTGTTGTGTTTTTTAGGTGATGTGTGATGCATACACACCAGCTGGTGAGCCCATTCCAACAAACAAGAGACACAATGCTGCCAAGATCTTTAGCCACCCTGATGTTGCCAAAGAGGAGCCATGGTAAATTCTCTAGGAAGCACTGTTTGGGAGAGATTATTTTATATAACACACTTATATTAGTTTTACTATGGTTTTAACATTTACTGCCCTAGTATTCTAATATTCGGGATCAAGATTTTATATGTTTCACAACGAAACAAATAGTCACAAATTCAAAGAAAATGTTGACAAATTAAAGAAAATAACTATGGCGAATAACGAAAATTGTGTATATAAACCAGGTATGGGATTGAGCAAGAGTATACTCTCCTGCAAAAGAATGTTAACTGGCCGCTTGGATGGCCTCTCGGAGGTTTCCCTGGACCACAGGTACGTACTCTCTCCGTCCCAAAATAAAATTCCGAGTCACTATTTCAGGGTCTACGATAACTTTTGCTTTGATTTAAAAAAAAAACTAACTTTACTTTAGTCTTTCTATTGCATTTACCAAAATATTGACTTTTGTGTCACAGGGACCATACTACTGTGGGATTGGGGCAGACAAAGCTTTTGGGCGTGACATTGTAGATGCCCACTACAAGGCATGCCTTTATGCTGGGATCAACATAAGTGGTGTTAATGGAGAAGTCATGCCTGGACAGGTTAAATTTGACAATTTTCTCCTTTCTTTGTTTTGTCTGAACTGAAAAATTATGGGCATTTTTGGATCTCCTAAAATGTTTGGCAAATGAACGGAAATATACTCGGAAAATAGTTCTTTTTTTAAAATGTACTTGGTATATAATCAAAAAAAGGATTGGTTTTTATTTTGCCTGCCCTTTGAGGAGATAGAAAAAATGTTATGAAATTGTACCAATTTTTTTATTTTGTTTAAAAAAAAGAATATAAAAAAAGAATCTTTTCTATCGAAATAAAGGTCATTTTGGGAGGAGAAAATGATTTCCGGAAGTCATTTTTTCAGTTTCCGGTGTTTAATCCTTTTGGAAAATAGGAGTTACAAAAAATACTTTTTGAAGTCGAACGGAAAATGAACCCGAGAATTTTGTCTTCCCTTTTTTGGCGGAAGATATTTTCCACTCTTTTCCTATTTCTTTTATTATGTTAACAACAACCCTATTTTTTATCATATATCAAACATTCAACCAAACTCAAAAAAATGAATTTATTTTCAAAAGTCATTTTCATCTTTCCAAATGGGACCCTATAGAATCAAATAAAGCTCCTAAATCCTCCTTTTTTTCTCCAACTTTTGATTTTCCTCATCTTCTTTATTCCTTTTTTGGCCTTTTGACTTGGTGGGCATTTGGGAATAATTTTGTGACATTTCTTTTCTTTACAATATGAACACGTTGTGATGTGACGTGCAGTGGGAATTCCAAGTTGGCCCATCAGTTGGCATTTCAGCTGGTGATGAGGTGTGGGTAGCTAGGTACATTCTTGAGGTAAATAATTACATCTTTTTTTTACTTTTTTAACTTGTGGCATCCATGGGGTTGACTGTAAAATAACTGTTACTCCGAGGATTGCCCAGATAATTTTTTTTACCGCTCACTTTTTACTGTTGTACAGAGGATTGCTGAGATATCTGGAGTGGTTGTCTCATTTGACCCCAAACCAATTCCTGTAAGCTCTTTAGTTTTTTACATTGGTAACATTGCCCATAACTCAATCCAAAATGCATCCTTTGATTATTCTTGTTTGTTTTTTTCACCTTTGTGTCTAGGGCGATTGGAATGGTGCCGGTGCTCACACAAACTACAGGTAAAGAATGCTTAGATTATGATGGTTTTTTTGCGTGCACGAACGCGCGTTTGCTCTGAAATGTTTGTCCGTTACACAAAGTTTGTGATTTTAAGGTGTGTTTTTGTTTGTGTTTTTTTGCAGCACATTGTCGATGAGGAACGAGGGTGGAATTGATGTGATTAAGAAGGCGATTGAGAAGCTGAAGCTGAGGCACAAGGAGCACATTGCTGCATATGGTGAGGGCAATGAACGACGTCTCACCGGAAAGCACGAGACTGCTAGCATTCACACCTTCTCATGGGTATGTTTCTACCCCCCCCCCCCCCAAATAGTTGAACTACCCTTTACCCAATACTCCACCCACTTTTATTAAGGATAATTTGGTAAACTTAATCATTTTTCAACTCTTCTTAAAACAGTAAAAAGTCTACTTAGAAAATTCTTTTATAGAAGGGCTAGGATAGATCTTCCCAAATGCCATTTTACTTTGTTTGGAGAAATATTTCCATTACCTTTTTTTACGTTTAAAGTGTGACAAGTACTCCCACTAACTTTATTTATTTACACATCACTCATTCATTTACTACACTTCACCACTTTTATCAAGGTTATTTTAGTAAATTGGCACCTTTTTCAACTCTTTTTAAAAATCATAAAAAGTGAACTTGAAAATATCTTTTCCTAGTATTTTTCAAAAAAAAATGTTGAAGTCATTAACATGTGCCAAATGTTTCAGGGTGTGGCGAACCGCGGGGCGTCGGTTCGCGTGGGACGGGACACGGAGAAAGATGGGAAAGGGTACTTTGAGGACAGGAGGCCGGCGTCCAACATGGACCCCTACACGGTGACCTCCATGATTGCCGAGACCACTATTCTGCTCAAAGAATAAGTGGGTGGTCGGGAAGGTCGGGCGCGTGTCTATGTTTCCGGGGTTGTGGGTTTTGTTGGGAAACCAAAACCATTGTTGTATTCTTCTTCTTCATGTGCCCTTTTTTTCTAGCTTGTTTGTTGTTTCTTGGGTTTTTAGTAGGACGGGCGTCGTCGTGATCGATCAAATGATGTTTTATGGTTTGCTTTTCTTTTAAAAAAACAAAGATCTAGTTGTTTTAGTGTCGTGTGGCAATATTTTTTGTCATGGAATAACAATGAAGTGAATAATATTATTAGTTGGTGTTCAATTCATTGTCATCCTCTATGAATTATTAGGGCATTTACACTAATTTGCAAAACAAAAACGTACAATTACTAATTTTTGTTTAAAAAAAGGAGTACTAAGTTTTGGATATACTTCTAACAATTTTTACAACAATTTTCTCATTCCTTTTAATACGGTATATTATTTCAATTATTTCTCTTTTCCTTTACATATGTTCTAACAATATTACCAATACCATTTGACATAATAAAGAGTTTGTGGGAATTGTTTGATAAAATTAATATTTTTAGCACTATTAACTCCATTACAACGAATTATCTACTTTAATGTATTTTTTTCAACGTATTAAATACGGAGTAGTTAAAAGTTAGAATTTCCCTTTTTTCAGCGTAAAAATTAAAGGGAGACAGATTAAATTAGGAGTAAAGTATAAGAAAACTAAAATTGATTTTAATATATTAAAATACACTTTCCTATAATTCATAGAAATTTTTAATATTTTTTGATCAAATGCAATACAACAACCAGTAGAATCACACATAAGTCTTTTAAGAGTAAAATATGATTTCACACTGTCATTTTTATACAAGCACACTCACCACATTATCATATTGTAACTACTACATTATCACTGTCACAATGTCATCTGTCGTCGCCAGCCACCAGAGTGCTGTCACGGATCACCGACGGTCGACAGATCACATTTATATATTACACTATCATTACTTTTTCATCACACTGTCAATGCATACTCTTACTTCACACTGTCATTATATTGATATTTTGATCTTAAAAGATTTAAAACTTCTATTTTAATATTTTCATTATTTTTAACTCTAAGGTAATTTCTTTTATTTTACATTATGTGAAATTCACAATCATATTCTACTTCACAACCTCATGTGACTCAGCCTAGATGCTCATAACAAAGAACCCACACAATTTTTTATTACAATAAATGACAAAATTACTATTGCACAAGACCGTAAAAAAACGACATAACAATGTGGAATCCTTCTATTCACTGACAGTCAAATTTAACAGTCCCACTCATCACCGAGACTGTTACTTTCATCTGAGAAAAAAAATCCATTTTTTACCTTTACGATTTTACCCTCCCCTGCTACAGTCCGCCTTTCCAAACCCGACCCTTTGACCCGCCAAATCAAATTCCACCCAAAGGTTTTGCTGATGGAAGTTTCCGATTATATTACTCGTCACTCCGAGCACCTCCGACCGTCCGATCCCGACGCAGAGAATCCCGCCTCCGACGCCTTCCAGTGTCCTGTCTTTCCCGATCACGATCTCCACTCCGTTGTCGAACTCGAAGACCATGTCCCCGATCAACTGCTCGATCTCCGTCCGGTCGCCGGCGAAGCACATGTCCATGGACCCTTGGTGGACGTGCCCTTTCTTTAACTTAGCTCCGGCGCGGCTTAGAATCTCTCTCCTGACGGCGTTGTACGCCGTGTCCACCAGAAAAGTGTACTCCGTCCCGGAATCGATGATCGTCTGCCCGGACCCGCCGGCGTTCGGCCGGAACACGCTCGCCGGGATGCTCAGCTTCTTCCCGCCGATTCTGATCCCCGACAGCGCGACGGTGTAAGCCAGCGGGTCGAGATTCGGCATGCCTTGGGGTTCCGGGAACGACGAGAGGTTCACGTACTGGAAGGTACGAGAATTCGGGTTCGTCCCGAGGTATAACGTCCCGGCGGCGGGAACCGGCCGCCGACCGGGAACGCAGTAAGAAAACTTCCTCACCTTAGCCTGGGAAGCGAGAGACAGGCGGCCGCGATTCATTCCCAAAATGCCCTCGGACTGGCCGGCGGCGGAGGTCTCCGACGCCGCGCACCCGAGGATCAGGGGAGGGGTAGTTTGGGAATCGGAAAGCGAAACTCTTTCCTTGACGAGATTACCCTCCGCGAGAGTCCCGTCGGCGAAGAAGTAAGAGTAGCGGCAAATCTTGTCGCTGTCGCAGGTGGTGGGGAGGGTAAAATCGGGAACTCTGGGCTTACAGATCGGGTGATTACAGGGGAGAACGGAGAAGGAAGAAGAGAGGGAGGTGTCAAACGACGTCGTCGGGGGCTTCTGGTTGCACGTCACCCACGACAGCTGGCTCCCAGTGTCCAGAACCATCTTTTGTTCCTGTGGGGGCGTCCCTATGGGAAGGGAGACGATCAGCGCCGTCGTCGAATAATTGACCGCCGACTTGTAGTTAATATCCGCCGTCGATGAGGAGGTGCTGAGGGAGAAGGAGGCGGAGAAGGACCGACGGACGGGATTGCTGCCACGTGTCGTTTTCTGAGCTGCATAGGTTGAAACGAGGAAAAAGAGGAAGAAGAAGAAAGAGGTCAAAGAAGCCATTGTCGAAGAGGAAATGGGCTCTGATGTAATTAATTTTTGATGATTTCAGGTGTTAAATTTAATGGGATATATAAAGAGAGAAAAGAGAGTGCTCAATTATATGGGGAAGATGGGGAAAATGACAAAATGTGTATAAAAATGGAGGGACAACCAAGCAAAACGAGTAAGGGATGTTTTGCCGCAAAATCTTTTGACCAGACTGTTCATCATGATGGGCCCACATACTTGGACGTTTGGCATCAATCTGGTGGAGTCCACGCGGAGCGGTGAATGTTGCGCAGTTCGTAAAGATAAAAAATATCAAAAAAGTAGACTCTATGTTCAATATTCGACAATTGTGTTGGGACGCAACAGATGCAGATTCCATTTTTTAGCATCAATTTCTGATCAAAATCTAAATTTACTTCATTTTTGTGACCGTTCAACCTAGTATGCGGGAGCATCTGAAGATAGGGTTCATACTTGTTTTGGAATTTGGACAGTGAATTAGAAATGGGTAAATTAGGTAATAACCTCAGAATAATTAATGAAGAAGAAAAGTATTTGATAGGATGTAACTTCGATGACAAAGAAGACTTGCAAAATTAGATGATGTTCGATTTTTACTTCTCAAAGCCACGATGAAGAGTGATCATAGCACTTGTATTTATTATTGAGAAGTTTCACTCCATATTTGTCACATTAAGAACATAGCTCAACTTACATTCTTTCATCTTAGATGGATGCGAAACATGGTTATAAGAAGACGCTAAGGATGAGATTCATCGTTTTCTCTTTTTAGTTTGATATGGTCTTTTAAAAGAAATTATTTCTTCTCTTTCTCAAAAAAGTTATGTTTTAGTTTACAATATTTTGCTAAAAATATTTTTAATTTAATTTAAAAATTTGTATAGATTTTTCTAATAGAATAAATGGTTACTTAACTACAAAACAAAGAACAAAGAATTAACTCATCTTAGCGAGAAGAAGGGACTAAATTAGTCAATCCTAACTAGTTACGTCCCTTCATTTTTTTTACATTCTTCTTGTCTCCGAAATAAAGATGATAATATATCATATATATATCCGGATGTATAATATTTCTTATATACCTGACGAATATTCATTATTCATTAGAATGAATACTATAGCCAATCTGCGAAATGTAGGTAAGAGGGGTGCTGGGGTGAGGTGGGCATGTAGGGGGCAGGTGTAAGGTTTAGGAAAGGGGTTAGGAAGGGTATGAACTAGTATTAATTTTACTAACGGAGTTTTGTAGAGCCTCGAGTCATAATATAACTTGAGATTCAATGGTCAAAAAATTCTTGCTGTTTAAAAATACATAAAAATAATTAACTGGATGGCGCGACGCCCAACCCCGCCAACTATTGAATTTCTGGATCCGCCACCGGCTTTTATTTTGAAGGGGACGAAATCCGTCATCTGTGAGAAAAAAATAGTTTACTCCCACCGTTCCCCAGTATTTGTCCACTTTCATTTTTACACACCATCCAATACACTTTTTTAATCCATTTTATCTTGTAATTTGTATATTAAAAAATTATAAAAATTATATATTAATAATCTATATGTTAAGACAAATCAAACAAGATCACACATGACTATATTTAAGCTTACACATTTAGAGAATTTGATGAGTCAAAGTACTTAGATGAATAATTTCAAAATTCAAAACTGGACAATTATTGGGAGACAGGAGTAAGTATGTAACATTAGGTCTGAACGCCTTTTTATTGCGTGGAGTAATAGAAATGAATGGTTGGTTGGAAAGGAAATGATTTTATTAAAATAAACTAAAAGGCTGGAAAAGATATTATTGGAGTGACTGTTTTTATTGCGGTTTGTTGAAGGTTATAAAGGAAAATGATATTTGTACACAAAAAATTATACTCCATATCATATTTTGTACTTTGAGGGCATGAATTGACATTTGGTACTAGTGTGATGTTTTATAATGATAAAAAATATCAATGTAATTTTTTTTATTGAACTAACATTTTGTGCCAGCATAAATCGTAAAAATGTTAATGCATCTCTTTAGAGTACAATTTAGAATCTACTTCCTGGTGTATCCCTATCATGGTTGGGTTATAAGTGAACCCAATAGTTTTTATTTAATTCGTCATTTCTATTCATCTGTACTCTTTTATATTCGTTTGTATTATTTTGTATTCGACTCGTATGCATTTGTACGATTTCCTACTCTCTCCGCCTCAAAAAAATTTTTATGTTTTGATTCTTTTATCAGACTTTGACGCTTTTTATTATAAATTAAATACTGGAGCATAATTTAAATAAATAAGTTTTAAAAAAATTGGGTTTATTAAAACTATATTTTAAAATGAACTCTATTATATTAAATTTATAATTAAATATCCTTTTTTCGAAGACGGATGCAGTATTTGTTATTTGTAACGTTAACAAATACGAATATTTCCATATTCAATTTAGTCTTTAATCAAATTTATTCAAAAAGATGAGTCAAAATTATAAATATTAAAAAAGGAATAGGTATAGGCAGTTCGCTAAACACTTAAAAATTGAATGTATGTTTATATTTTCATCTTCAATACTTCAATGTGTAGATTTTGAGTTTGTAATAATTTTTTTCTCATTAGCTAATGCAATGTATATCCATAGTTTCCATACAAAG